GAAGAAAATTTGAAGAGATTCGATTCGATTCTATTCGGACCAAAAAACCCGATTCGCACAGCACTAGTGTCGATCTGGAAATGATCCACCCGTCCTAGACAATCACGAAATCAAAGAAATTTTACCGTGAATTCGAAATCTCGCATCTTTTGGTACCGGATCTATGTCGTTCGTTACCGAATCGAAAGAGAGCAGATTCGATTCGATTTCGAATCGTTCGCACAGCAATGATGGGAGATGTTTTCAGTTTTAGTTTTGGTGTGTATCGCCAACGCCAGCAGACAAACAAATGCTATATTTTTCTCCAAGAGTGTAAGGAAGGCTGCCGGTATTTACTTCTGTCGGCCTTTCCCTAAATGGCCATGTGTTGAGTACTCTTCTGTCCGCTTAGCACGACAACACTGCCCCGCTCTTGGCTCCCTGCAAACAAAAAGAGGAAAAACTGTAGTTATATGTTACGGAAAGATAGATGGTTTCTGCTTTACACGGACGTCTGACGGACATCAAATTGCTGACCGTAGTGCGTTTAGACAAAATATATAGCTAAAAGAAAGAGACCGTAAACGAAAGTATGAGAGCGTGTAGAATAAGACCATTCTAGCTGGTCGTCAAAACTCCATTAACAATCCCCCCCCCCCTCTCAAAAAGGTAGGGCTTGTAAGGAGGAAACTGGAGAAATATTTACGGAATATGATAGTGTAAGCTGCATTTAATTGTCGGATCAGAACACTTAAAAAGATGAAGCAGCGGCTAAAAAGGGCCCGTTTTAGCCGTCTCGCGTGAAACTAAACACAATTGGTCCAGTTTTAGGATCAATAAAATGGCGCCCGGTCTGGATGAACACGAAAATGTACTGTTAAAAGTCAGAAATTCATAAGGAATGCGTTGGAAAAAAATGTGATTTTCGGGGATACAATTACATTACAACTCGTGATACGCAAAGAAGCCAAACTAAAATGGAAGTGTCAGAAACGACGCGTCCTAACAACAATGTTCCATCTGCAGCGTGCGGAATACACAATGCTCTATCTGCAGCGTGTGGCATATACAATGTTCTATCTGCAGAGTGCCGAATACACAATGTTCTATCTGCAAAACGCCGGTTTCGGGGTACCTCCAAAGACATGGTTATTACTCCGTAACCGCTCGTTCTACTTCACTTTTTGCAGTCCATAATTAAACATTGGACCTTTCCGATTCTTTGCGTATGCGCAGATTGGCCTTAGGGTGACACAGGACTGAAACTTGAGAATTTGGGCAAAAAAACAGCTATTTCAATAAGTTTAAAATCTATATGCGCATTAAATCAAAAAAACGGTCTCCAAAGCAATTTAAGTTAGATTATTGTGGGTTTTTTAAGGTAATAGTAAGCTTTTAGTTAGACGTGTGCGTGCGTGTGCGCAGAAGCTTTTTAAGATTTCATAACTTTTTGAAATTTAAAAAAGCTTCTTGCGCACACAGTCAAGTTCAACCATAGGCATACTATATCTTAAAAGGACGGCAATGATCTAACTTAAATTGCTTTGGAGAGCGTTTTTTTGATTTAATTCGCATATAGATTTTAAACTTGAAATACCTGTTTTATGCCAGTTTTCAGTCCTGTGTCACCTTAATGTATTCCAGTTACTTGCAAACCACACAAAGGTGAAGGGCTGCACCCAACCCCGTTTTGCAGATGGAACATTGTGTATTCGACACTCTGCAGATAGGACATTGTGTCCGCACGCTGCAGATAGGACGTTGTGTATTCCGCACGCTGCAGATAGGACAATGTTGTAAGGACGTGTCGGAAAGGTCTACACACTTCTCAACACCGAGACGCAAAAGTGAAATAACGGCGCGGCTAGCCCGACACAGCTTCCCCTTCCCCCGGCGCTACGCCGCGGTACGCAGCCAGCCTCCCTCGAAACCCTCACCACCACGCCATTCAGCGCCGCGACGCCGACCACGCGCGACCCCAGCGCCGAGCTGCCGAGCCGAGGGGAGGCGCGCGTAGCCACGCGAGCGCGCGCTCGTCCAGCGCGACCCACCCAGCGGCACCACCGGGGTGCTGCTCTGTTAGAGCGAGTGCGAGCTCGGAGCTTGCACCAGTTCAGAGTGACAAAAGGAAAATAAAAAGAAAACGGATGTGACTCCAGGGCCGGCCAATGTTCCTACTGGATGCCTGACCCATCGGCGATATCACAGTACCGCTGCCCTGCCGCTATTTGACCGGTTTCTACCTGCAAAGACGCACAAAGAGACCAAAGTTCACCTGGAATTGGCCTTAACGCGGCGCGGATTACTTCGACGGATCATTGGAGTTTCACCTGATCAGGTTAGTGGACACCTTCAATTCACGAATACTATCATTTTCTTTCACCTAAACTGTAAAATGAAAGTGTCGAGCACCTGCACATAAGGCACAGGGTGCCTGTAGGCACGCACAAGTATGTGCCTACCAAGTCGACTGTTACAAGTGTCATGTGCCTGTCTTGATCGACTGTTGCAAGTGAGTGTCTGGCAGGCACACACATACAGGTAGAGTGCAATGCGGTCGAAATCAACCCTCACTTTCAGAACTAGGGTGCTGAAAAGAGGGCTAACCTAAGGAGTTGAGAAACAGTTTTCGCCCCTTTCAGCGAGAGAATTATAATTTTCCGCTTAAAGCGAAGTGAAGTATCACTATCATTCTCAGTACCCGTAGCGTAGCCGTGGCAAACAAGTCACCCAAGTGTCACTGGGTACAAATAACACTGTAAATATAATTTCCCAAGAAAAATTTGGCCAATTAGTTCGGAAACATGATTTTTCAACACATCGGTGGTAAAATAATTTCCAGTCCTTTGTTAGGAAATGTTCGAACAATTCGGAAAACAGTCAGCGTACTTATTTACACCCAAAACTAGGTGAACAAATTGTAAAAATGACACTTTGTCGAAAAAGTTCCGAACTTTATAAACAATTTGGCGTGCAAATTTTCCGGTATATTGCTTCTTTTCACAGTGAATAAGGTACCGAATCTGGTACAGGGTGAAGAGTACGGGACGACCATACCAAAAAAACCGTTACCGTAAAGCCGTACTTTAAAACCGTACAGACAAATTTAATCGCTTTTGATGCTACGTTGGCGCCGTAGCTGAGTTGAAAGGCATTAGCGTAAACAGCATACACGGTGCACAGTCGTGCCGTACATCATCCCGTACTGGCCTTTGAATTTTTACAGTGCACCCGTATATCCGATTCAATATCTGCACTGAAAAATACTGTGCTCAACCCTTCAACTCTTTAAAGTTGCGTTCTGTTAAGTGTTCAACTGAATTGTTGTATGGACTTACGTGTTCAGCTCGGTTGTGTTATGAGACGCCACCGCAGACGACGACGCAGCCCAGAAAAATGTTTCTTTACAAAATTTAAAAGATTATTTTGCATCAAAGTAATTACCAACATGATGGGCATTGATTTAACTCTACTTGAGATTTCTGATAGCTTTAATTTAATGGTAAAGCGTTGAATTACTTTACATTTTGTTCCATAAACACTGCTGTAGTTTGCCATAACGCCGGTGCGTGTGGTCGACGCAGGCTGATGGAAGTACACACGGGACGCAAAGCTTGGATCGACCCAGCGGAGCCCCCAGGGGTATAAACAATGACGAATGTGTATCCCAGCGAGACTCTGCTGCCCCTAAGAGGTTCTGCAAAGAAATTCTCGGGTCAGTAAAGGTTTTGTATGAAAGAGGACAAACCTCAAACACGCGAAAAACTAATATGGCATTTGTCACGTTTTGCAAAACGTTTTGACAAAGTAAATACATTAAAGTATAACGCGTACCCAAGACATCTTTACTCAAGTTTCCTTACATCTTTGTCTCCCCTCACTTAGTCTTCTAAACAAACGCTAGAACAACTTGTTGTTCGCTTATGGTGGTTCTTTTTATGAACCTTTTACTTGTTCCAAAAGAGAGATAACGGGTGGTATTTCCATTTCACAAAAAAGGTGTTGACCTAAATATCTCTCTGTCAAGCATGAGAAACCCCTCTCCATGCACGCACAGTTACGTAACCGACGATTGCAGCCGAGGGAGAAGGGAGAGCGTTCTTTACCAGCATCACCCTTATTTTACTGAGCCGCAGGGGAGAGGAGAGGCATTACAGTAGCCCCTTTCTCTAGCCACCAACACGATTAATGGGTAAGCGTAGGGCCACCAACACACCATTCGCTATCGACAGTTCTAGGGCACGCCATGCCACGCCATTCCACCCCATCTGGAATAGTCAGAGAGAAGACCCATTAAAAATCGTGACACGCACTCTTTCTAAAGGAGTTGGTCAAACGCCAGGTCTCGATTAACACACGGCAAGGTATTACAATAGTTCTTGCAGTAGTGAAACTATAGGACAACACTTGTAAATAGAGCTGCAGGCAGGTTTGAAAAGTAGGCAGGTTAATAAGCATACTTTACTATATAAGGGACGGATTCAGTTCTTTATTTTTGAGGTGCAGATGCGCCCAACTCGGTTACGAAATCAGAATCAGGATTTTGGGCAGTGGGCGTGTTTACCTTCCGCAACAAACCACGCACCACGGCACCTGAAGGCCCCGAATGAGTAGAAACCCAGTCGACCCGTTCATTCGTGTTCATGCTTTACGGTATAAGATTTGAAAAGGAAGGAAGCAATGGGACATCCCGGATACAGTATTTCGGCGAAGAGCAGCGGAAAAGGCTAGTAGGTTTTCATCTAAGGTTTGATTGCCTGTTTGCACTCCGCGAGGGAAAAAATTGGCACGCGAAGGGGCCCTGCAGACGAACATGGGGAGGAGCTCGTTTACAGCCTGGCACGGTCAGCTGTTTGGATGATTGTATTCATAGAAAGTAGTGGAATGCTACCGAACCAAAACAGACACACGGCGTGTGAGAAACAGAAAAGTCAACGACGTCTGTCCACGACAGAGTACTTTCGGGTTTGCCTCTGCTCTGGTGAACCTGCACCCCAAAAAGTCGTTTCTTGTTTCTGTAGAAACTATACGTGCCGTTACTATAGTTAATGTTTCCTTGTCTCAAGTGCTCGCTGACACAAGATCAAATTTACTCTTGAAACAAGCTGATATTTTCTAATGGATAAGAGCGAAATCTTATTCCAAAGACAATATTGCCTTGTTTCAATGGCGAATTTCACCTTGTGTCAGGTGCACTTGAATCAAGAAACTATTTTTCTGGGTGAGTGTGTGTGTGTGTTGTAAAAGAGAGTAAGTGAGTGCACACGCGCGCGCCTCTTTGGTATCAGATCACAATGCAAAATCGAAGAAGGAAAATTTTGCGATATCTCGGAAAAGCACGTCAGAAAAGTGAGGTCAGAACACTTTCCAAAACCGCATATTTCGAGTCGAAAGAAAATCTCCTCAGGAATTTCGTAGCCTTAGATCTCCGACAATCATGTAAACTCATCTTTAACAAAAGAGTGTGACAAAATTGGAAATTTAAATGGATGCAGCTGCACTTCCTGACTTGTTAAAGTTTTGATTACCCAAATTACAAGTAAATTGTCGTCATCAGTACTGTTAAGTGGGACACTGTTGGGGCTGGAGAGCCATACCTCTGTGTCTACTCTTTCTCCTTAACTCATCTCGGTTGACAGCGCTGCAGGCCTAGCTATTTTACTGGGTGACTCGAGGACCGCGGCAGGGTCCGCAGACCGCGAGCTACCCCCGCGGACCCACGAGTCACCCACACGGACCCGCAAGTCACCCCCGCGGACCCGCGAGGCACCCCCGCGGACCCACGAGTTACCCCTGCGGACTCGCGGGAACCCGCGCGAAACAGCGAACAACCCCTTCCTGTGTACACGCCCGTGGGCGTTGGCTGCAGCAACAGTGGTGGAGCGACGCGTTAGCGTTTGGAGCCGGTCAGCTGCGCCTGGTGGGTATGCAGTCCTGGATGGAGCCGTGCGGGCTGGTTTCATGGTACAAAAGTGCGCGGCGAGAATCAGCCACCTGATATTCATTGTTTACATTAAATAAAAAAGACATGGTTTGTGTACATTAAAATATGGGAGATGGTGAGGAGTGGGAAGAGAGGGGGGTCTCTTTACCCTCTGGTAAAGACAGTCTTGTAGTGGGGCTGTTAACGGATTGAACTCTGCACTTTGTGATGACAACATTTTGATGTCGTATCCTTATGTTTTCGGGGGTGCTCTATCGATCTGGATGTGGTGCCACGACGAAATCGGGCTCCTTCATCCTGTTCGAGGCCAAGAAGTGCCAAATCATCTACAAACAACGACTAAACGGCGTCATATCGTGTCCGCAGTGGTCTCAATCGATTCGTCTGTTCTTTCCGGTTAATTTGATACCCGGGGCGACCACACGCGAGGCGCGCGCTCGCGTCCTGGCCGCCTAGAAGCTACTCGAAGTGCATGATCCTCTACAACGCCACGTCTTCTCGCCGCCTCATCGATCTCGTTTGGGTGCCAATCGCTTCGTACACTCTATCCGACTATATTGACACCCTAATCAGCTGTGCGCAGCGCGCGCACCCCCGTCCTGGCCGCCTAGAAGCCCCACCAAGTGCCCTATCCTCTACAACGCCATGCCTTGCCGCTGTCCTATCGACCCCGTTCAGGAACCAAACGATTCATGTCCACTATCCGACCAGTTGGCCCCTTCGCTCGACCATGCACGACCTACGTGCTCGCGTCCTGGTCGCCTAGAAGGTACCGAAGTGCGTCATCCTCTACAAAGACACGCCTTCCCGACGTCCCATCGATCCCGTTCGGTGCTAATCGATTCTTGTCCACTAACCAATCATTTTGACACCATTATCGACCGTGCGCGGCGCGCTCACCCTCATTCTGGTCACCTAGAAGCTACCCGAAGTGCCCCATCGTCTACGACTTGATGGCCCTGGTGGGAGCGCCGACGAGCTCTGACCCTCTGGCTATCTGGCATAGGTCTACATCGGTCGGTATATAAGTCCCGGTGTAACAGAGTATGGTTTTACTCCCGAGTAGGAGTACCTCCGGTACACCAGCCTTAAAGTACATGTACCCGTACCCCCTATCCTCGAGCCCTGGGGGCACACCAAACCTAGGGCTGATGTACCCCCGGGGGTACACGATACCTAGGGCGCATGTGCCTCCCATTCCAAGAGATGCACCATTCCTCAGGGCACTCACTCTTTACCTTCGAGGGCTCATATTCAGCACCGTTTAAGTGGCCGGAGCCTAACCTAAAGTAACCTATCATTAACTCTAAGTGGTGCGATTAAATCTCGGGGGGGTACACGAGGCACATCAGCCCTAGGTTAGGTGTACACCAGCCCTAGGTTTGGTGTAACAC